TCTTAATGCACCCCAGGATCCCATTGGCCTTCTTGGCCACGAGGGCACACTGCTGCCTCATGGTCAACTTATCATCCACCATGACACCCAGGTCTTTCTCTGCAGAGCTGCTCTCCAGAAGGTCAGTCCCCAGCCTGTCCTGGTGTCTGGGGTTATTCCTCCCCAGGTGCAGAACCTTGCACTTGGCCTTGTTGAATTGCATGAGGTTTTTCACCGCCCAGTTGTCGAGTCTGTCCAGGTCCCTCTGGATGGCAGCACAGCCCTCCGGGGTATCGGAAGAACTGACCCCTGGGGGACACCTCTAACTACAGGCCTCCAGCAAATACAGGTAAAGAACAGAGTGGGGCTCCAGCAAAGTGTTCAGCTCAGCCCTAAGAGTACTACGCTAGATTGCTCTGAAGGAGTCTTGACTACAGAGCAATTTTAGGACCCTTGTTGATTCACTCAGGTACCTGAAGTCTGTTGAGCTGTGTAAACTGTTACTGCTCTCTTCCTCCGTGTCTAAGCACCCTCTCAGGAACCCAGACCTGTAAGTAACACATTTTGAATTAAAAAGTGTTTGGGGATGAGAAAAATGCTAAAGACTTTCTGCCTCTTGAGTGGTCCAGAAGTAAGTGCATGTATACATATACAGAAACAAAGATATAAACTGCAGTAGCCACAAGAGATCTCAGCAGGCAGTTCAGTGAGGTCTTCATTTCAGTGTTGTGCGATATAAAATGATTAAACACTTGCTTATAAAGCTCCAAGCAGGCAGAGCGACCTTTTAAAGAGGACTCGCAAGGCGCTTGCTGAATTCAAAGCAAGAAAGGGGGAGTGCATCTTCTGGAGACGGCTGCGGGGCACTGTGTGGACGTGTGTGATTGGAGCGGTGCTTGAATCCAACCTGCCCAGCACAGCTCTGCCGTGGACAGGGTGCCTGGCTCACCTGCAGCCACAGAGCAAATCCAGCCCTTGCAAAAAGAGGACGCGGCGGGATGTGGCGTGTGAGGTGGTCACTCGCACATCAGCCCTGTGCTCCAATGCTGGCCATGGGGCTGTGCTGCTGGAGATGGGCTGGGAGGGAGGAGGAAAACAGAAAGGCAGCAGGGCAGTGCACTTGGAAAACCAGAACTACTGACAGCTTTTGGCTTCTAACTTTTAGCTTGTAAGTGATAGAGATTGGGCTCATTTAACTGTACTAGTGCTGCACACTCTTCATGATAAATGTCCAGCAATCTTCTCACACTGGAGGGGTGTCACTGAGTCACATTTTCATGCTTGCTCTCTGAGACCCAGTAATTTTGTATTTACTGGTTTATTCCTGCTTATGCTGAACACTTTCAAAGACAGGGTGCCTTTGGTTCAGAATATTATTTAACCTGACAGGTGTATTTCCCAGAGGTGAGAGAGACGTGAGTCCCCCCAGCGACAGGAGAACCGAGCCAGGGTTCTGCTGTTGGAACCACTCACCCTGTAGGCCTGCGCGTGGTGTCCTCTGAGGTCACCGCTCCACTGTGCGAGGCAGGCAAAGCCAGATTTGCTTCTGGATTTTCCTGTGAGCTAAGGACAGAGCTGAGCAGCCCAGCGCAATTTGAGATGTGTGTAAGGCCAGATTCAATGTAGCAATGGGAGTCCCACGGAAAAGACACCTTAGGCATTACACAGCAAATGTGAAAAAGGTGAGGGAGAGGGTGGGACTTTTATATCATAGTTTTGGACGTTGGCAAAGTTTAGGCACCTAAGTCTTGCTTTAGGTGTGGGGATATTTTACGACAGTGATGCAGCTGGGAGCCCATGGATTAGGTTTAGGAGACAGACCAGCGTGAGTGACATTGTGGTGTCCTCCATAGACCACCTGATCAAGAAGAAGAAGTAGGTGGCCCTTGCTGCCAGACAACTGGCAGAAGCCTCATGTTTGCAGGGCTTGGTGCTCATGAGGCACTTCAACCACTCCAATATCTGCTAGAGGCTCAAGTCCCCACATCATTGTGGACTCCCTGGAAGTGCATTTTGTGTTTGCAAAGTTAAGCCCTGAAGTAGATGGAATACTACAGTGGATGACAACAACAGAAGCTATAGAGGGCTTGCAGAAGGGAGAGTGTTATGTGTTCAGATCCCTCAGGTTGCTTTGAAAATCTTGTCCACAATTATCAATAAATGTCAGTAATGAATCTTCTTACTTACTAGGATATTCCTTATATTTATCTAACCTTAGCAGGCTTCAGGAACAGTCGTTTTCCAGTTAAAATAAAAAAGAGTGATGACCCAGATGCAAAACTCACTAATTAAAGTTTCATAACTCATTTTTAAAAATGCAACATGTGGTGAATCATCTCACATTACAAGCCAGAGAATAGTTTGCCTTGCTGAAATTATACCAAATTTGGAAAGGTCAGTTTTTCATCTGGCTGCTAGTCAGAAACTCTGATTTTCTATAAGAGGTTCTGACTAATAAAGTTATTGTTTTCGCTTGTGGATATAGATCATATGACTAAATGTGGATATGTCCAGTAGACATATATCTATATTTATATGAGTTTATATTTAGATTTTAATTATTCTGCCATAATGGGGAATCTCCAAATGACCACTATTTGTGACAGTGACAAATACGACAGTAAGGAAATGGATCTTAACTTAGTATTTTTATTGCAGTCACACTCCTAGAAAATTTAATCACAGATCATCACCCTGCTATGCTAGATATGGGGCAGCTTCAGGAAAAACTGCAAAACTAGCTGGTGAATGATATAATTGCCCACAATTAAGTGTGGAAAAGAATAATATAAATGTAATGAATTTCAGCCTTCCTGCACAGTCCTCGATCTTCCTCCTTACCTCCTCAGTAGATAGGGGGATAATAAGAGTACTAATCCTAGAATAAACACCTATTCCCTGTGATACCCTGCTGATGTAATGACGGGGCCACATTTTTCTAATATTACTTGCGTCATTCAGGACATTACATACTCATATAAATATGAATCCCGTAAATTCATATTAGTAGTCTTATTATCTCATAAAATGTATTCATTATATTGTGAATTTTATTATAAAAAGCTACTTTCGCAAGTTTGTTGGGGCCTGAGATCTAAATATGGATTGCTCTCAAACTCTTTTGCTATGAAAAAATGGAAATAGTTGCAAATGCAGCTGTCTGTAATATACAGAGTACTGGTCTTAAAAATATATTGGTACAAAGCTATTGCGTAATCAGTATAATATTCTGTGGCAAATAATCCAGTATTGGAGCATTCTTTTACATCTCAGACAAAAGTGGTTTCCTTGTTGAAAAGTCCTTTCTGTTTTAAATGTTATTTTTTGTAAATATACCAGCAGTCAATATATAAACAGGAGAGATTTCACATTTCACAGAGTCACGGAACAGTCGGATTTGGAAGGGGCCTGCGGAGATCGCTGTGTCCCACACCCTGCCCAAGCAAGGTCACCTACCAAGGCTGTCCAGGATGACGTCCAACAAGTGTTGGATGTCTTCAAGGACAGAGGCTCTACAACCTCTGTAGATAACCTGTTCCAGTGCTCCTTTGCCCTAACAGCGAAAATGCTTTTTTCTTATGTTTAAACAGAATTTCCTGTGTTTGGGTTTCTGTATGTTGCCTCTTGTCCTGTCACTAGGCACCACTGAGAAGAATCTAGCTCATCTTTTCACACCCTCTTACATATTTATATACACTGATACTTCAGCCTTCTCTTCCCCAGCCCCCTCAGGTTCTCCTCATAAACTGATTATTCTCAAAGTTTATGGGCAAAAGGAACTGCCCTTCAGTTAGATTTTCTTTTTTCATGGGAAGAGGTCATTTTTTTCCTTCTTGTTAATAAAAATTAACACAGTATTTAACAGCTATAGAGATGAGGGCATCTCTACTATCTTGATTTTTATTTTATGTTAAATTGTGTTATTTTATGTTAAATTAAATTATGTTAATTTTTATTTTTTTAATCTGTTCAATCTGGACTGCCATATATTGCTACTACAGCTGTGCCATCTTGTGGTTTACGTAAAACTCATAAGATTTTGTAGCTTGAAAATTAATCAAACTGTAACAACTTGTTCTCAGCCACAGCCAGGAATGCAAAATCAAACGATGCACCCCTAAGCAATAGTGCAAGCAAAGTATGAATTAGAAAATCCTTCACAGATAATACATCCTCAAGCAAAATTTCAAGTCAGCAGGTTTCAGAGCTGGTGGGCAGGGGGAGCAAGGACTGTCACTGTGTCAATGTCCAGTGGCCTTTTCACCTTCAAAATGCAAATATATCGGAATTGGATTCTCCATAATTTATGAGAAGGGTCCAGGCAAGCTTTCTTATAAGACACTGCATTTTTTTTTCTGAAGCTCACCATTTACAGAAAATGCTGTGCTATTAAAGAACTTAGGCCATGGATGTGAATGGTGGCCGAAGTTCCTTGGTTCTGGGCTGGCTGCTCCGCAGGCCACCTCTTGGTTTTAGGATCAGCAGTAGCTGGCTCTGCGGAGGCCACACAGCGGATCAGAGTAGGTCTGAGGGACATGGTCGCGCAGTACCTCATCCCATCGCCACGACGCCGGGGGCCTCCTTTCCTCCTGCGTGGCACTGCAGGCCGCTCCTTCGTCATGGCTGCAGTTGCAGCGCGGGCGCCTCTGGGGCTGGGGAGCGTTAGAGGCGCCTGGAGCCCCTGCACACCCTTGAGGATCAGCAGCCTCCCTTCACCACTGTTGCTTCTCTTTCAGCCAAGTCTGTTATCTTCCCTTTTGCCAAAATCTCCATTTTTACAGTTCTTTTACGAGTTCCTTTCTCATTGCTCTCACAGCCGTGCTCCCGTGCGCTGGCGCTACGTGGCCAACTTCACAGAGATGAGGTCTGCGTTTCCTGTGCTGATCCGCTAGCACATCAAAGGAGCGTGGTCTGGCATGATCCGCCCCTGATAAGCACATGCTGCCTTTGATCCCGTTCTGTATTAAGCTCTGTGAGCTGAGACGGTGAGAGGAGATGTGCAGTGTTGCTAATTAGGAATCAGAGTTCCTGCCGGTGTCATTTTTATTTGTAGTTTAATGGTTTCCTTTTGTTCCCTTCGCACTTGCTTTTACATTCATGAGTATAAAGCATAAAATATATCATGTTCCTGAAAGGCAGGAAATTAATAGCTTGTCTGCTAACTCTGTTAATCTGCAGATCAGGCAGAGCACAAACTGTGGTGGGTACCTAACGGGGCTGGATTGGCTGTGGCTCCCCGTGAGCCACAAGCTTTGGGAATTTTCTCCAGTCTCTCCTAAGTAAAGTTCTAGACCAGCGTATATTCAGCAAATGTGCCCTCTTCTGGCTCTCAACCAGAGCTGGTGAATAGAGTAATAATATTCGAATAATCTTTCCAGTCCTCAACGCTGAAGTGTTTGCTGAGAACTACGCTAATATGTCATCAAACATGCTGGTGAATGATGCGTTTGACAACATTTGTAATAAAAGCGCATTGATGAATATTCCAGAATATTCGAGTCTCTTAAAATGGAAAAGAAATAAGATTTTTATTTCACTTCTTTTGAGGAAACAGGGTATACAAGTCTGTAATTAATATTATTTTCAAGTATGAAACATGGTGTCTATAGTAATTATAATTAATTCTGAGATAATTGTAGTTAAATAAAAAGCATTCAGAATTGCAATCATTAAGGAACACGAAGGTGGTTTGAACAATACAACTGCTTGTTGTTTTTACTGGCTTCCTTATTACAGCGTGTGTCTGAAACTGAATTCTTTGAGACTCTGAATCTTATCTACAAAGTCATTAAAACGAGGATTCAAAGCTATGCAGAGATTTAGCTCCTATTCCCATCTGCATGACATATTCAGCAACTCTATTTAGTCTTTAAAAGGTTGTGGTACATGGAAAGTGGTTTACCGGGGACATCTGGTTCCCATCTAATATCTTTCCTTCCATTTTGCATTTGAATTTCTGCAACTGGAAGCATAGGAAAACCAGAGCAGAGCAGAGGAAATAAAATGCAGAGATTTACAGACTCCATCAGCACAATGAGCCTTGCCCACATTGAGCCCTTCTCACAAATATGGGCACTAGAGATAACCGAGGTTAAAATTAGTTGTGGTATATTTGGCTTAATTAAACCATCAAAGCACCGGACAGGTTGGATACCTGGAGGATATCCAAGGGGTACCCAAGATACCTTGGGACCCAAGATGCCTTCTGATGGGCCATCAAGCAATTCCTTAGGCCTTTTACAAAGCACCAAGCAGAGCGAGAAAAGAGCTCACATACGCAGAGAACGTTCTGTGCTAAAGCACCAAGCAGAGCAAGAAAAGAGCTCACATACGCAGAGAACGCTCTGTGCTCTGTTTGAAGACGAGCGTGCACAGTGCTTGGAGAGGCAGCTGGTGGCTGCTTCCCTCCTCTGGCACTGCTGCGTTAACCGGCTCATCCAGAGCAGCCGTTTCCTTCCTTTCTAACAGATCAAACCTTCACGGCCGACCACGGTCCTGGCGTGAGAGGAGCCTCTCCCCTCAGCCATGTCTGCAGGCACCTCGTCCCGCTCCAGCATCCTTCCCGCAGAGCCACTTGCCGCGTTCCCTGCGGCAGACCCGGAGCCAGCCCTGGCCGGGGCTGCCTCAGCCCTCAGCGTCCCCCCGGGAAGCGGCCCGCGTTGTGGAGCGGCTGCGCTGAAGTTAAGGATAGCTGGCAGGCAGGTTACATAACCTACCTTCCTATGTTTGGCAGCTTACATTAAAAATATCCACACTTTAATGCATGTAGTGATAAAATGGGTGGGTTTTCAAGGCACGGCCAATAATTCTCAGTGCAGCTTTAATTAATGACGTAGATTCATGTAGTTTTCTCCACACAGCCCTTTCTTGCCCTATACTGTTGACAAGGAAGGATGTACTGTTAGCTGCTAGGGAAGTACACTAGGTCGGAGCCATTTTCAGTTCCTAAAGTAGCTCTTGGCAGGAGAACATCAGCGCTTGCAGTGGAAGCCTCAAAATAACTCTGTGCCCTTTGCTCCCTCTGCTAATTCCGAACCATCTAAATTAACCATTCTGAACCATTGCAAAGATGTGTCTGCAGGAGATTAAGACCCTGGGCTCTCCGACAAGGGTCAGATTTAGCCCATCTTGCTGCACATGCGGTGCACCAGCGCAGCGCAGGGAGTGTGACCCTCTCCTGCGCTTGGTTCGTGTGCTGGTATTTCTTTCACAGTTGCTTTTTTTTCCTGTCCCTCGGGGATGGCAGATGTTGGGACCGGCCCTGTCCGGAGGAGCTGGGCACATTCCTGTCAGCCGGGACCCTGGACGCTTTCTTCCCAGCAAATCATCTGCGTCGACTTCCTTTAACTCTACCGTGTCCCGCTGCTCCGTCACTATTTATACATCCAGGCAGTTAAGTGTCTGTCTCTGAACACTGCTGCTTTTCACTGTCTTCAGGAAAATGAGCGTCCAGCAAAAGGAAATCTCCACCCACTCCACTTGAAAGAGCAGACAGTGGAATTGCACAGCCGCTCTCCGATACTGCTGCATCCTCTTCCTACTTCCCTAAAGAGAATATTGCCCTAAAGAGAACCAATTCAGTATTTCAGCATGTTCCAAATACATCAATTCTTTGGGAAGCTTTTCCTGTTAATTAAGGTACTGCCAGCTTGTTTTGCAACTCCAAGCCCTATTCCACCTTCTTAAAGTTTTAGTTAAGCCTCTTTTCAAAATCTACCCATTTCTCTTTGATCATCTCAGCAGAAGGGCCTCCTGCAGCCAGCGCTCACTTCCAGCTGAGGCACAACAAGATTTAAAGTGTGTTATAGATTTATGACATTTACTGGCAATGTTTTGTGTCAATTTAAGCCCTTAGACAATCATGAATATACAAATGCCATACACAGAGCGCTGCAATGGCTGTGCTGTAATACACCTCTGCATTGGCAGGTGGAGGTAGAGAATCACACCTAGAAGTGGTGGTGCTGGGAGACGTTTCTGTGGCCAGCACTTAGTATTACTGAGTTTCAGATGAACTCAGTACAGAAAACAAAGGATACAGAGAAAGAAGGTCAGAGATTTTCTTCCATTTTTTTTTCCTCCTTTGGGAAATGAGGTTTTATTAAAAGCTGCATTCTGAAAAAAAAAAAAGGAATTGATTTTCATTAAATTGCATGATGAAGGAATTGAAAAGGCATTTTAATAGTGTTATGCAATTAATTTACCCTTTTTATTACCCTTTTCAAATTAAAGCGACAAAGTTTGAAACTCAAGGCTTTTTATTAGTTAATTCTCTTAGGATATCACATTCCAGTTTTCCTGAAACAGTATCTCCTCTGGAATCTTGTGTTTTAAGAAACTTTAAAATGTTCTTTCTCTCCCTTGCCCCCAAATGGAATGAGAAGAACTTTCCAAAAGTCAGGATTTCCTTAGGAATTCTGATTGCTGAGCAGCTGAAAAAAAATTGGGTGGTGCAACAGCAAAGGGATTTACCAACTATTCTGAGAGATTCAAGGGAGACAAAAATACTCAGAATTTATTTCTAAGGATAGTGAACCGGTAGCCACATTACTCCTTCTGCCAATGGACTATGGGAAGGATAATATTAACATTTTTGCTCTGGGTCTGATCACTCAATGTTAATTAATGGATTTGAACAGCTACAAGTGCCCCTATTTCGGTGCAGTTGAAATGTATTTGCAGAGTTAATTTGTTCTTTGCTCAACAAGCACAATGACACAACTCATGAAATTATTAAATACTGGAATTCAGCATTTTATTAACCTCATTGAAAGATATAATTATGTTCTCAAAACAGACAAGTAAAAAAGACTTTGCAGAAAAAAAAATATATTGTGGTAAAATTTTACCTTAAAAATGTTCATTTTATAAGCAACACGTTCCCAGTAAGGGCAGTGACTTTCTAAAAAAGGCCAAATGCTCCTTGCCACTCATATGCTTGTTGATGTAAATTTAATGATTTAATGATTTAAATCTAGAAAAATGTAAGTGATGATTGAACCCAGTTAAGTTTTCTTGATCCTCATTAAGAAATGATGGATGGGGACCCTCACAACATCTTGCTGCCTTTGCACTGGTGTAAACTGCAGAATATCCAGCAGAGCCGAGGCGATACTTCCCAAGGACAGGCTTGAGAGTCAAGTAAATGTTTCATTCTGTATTACCCCAGTGAAACTCCCACGGATGGAAATCTCTGATAACTAATAATTCATGAGATAGAGCAAATACTGGCTAGTTCTGCTGCCTTTGCACAGTTCTAACAAGTGAAGTTAGAGTTTTGCTTTGTTTCCCCCCGCAAAAAAGTGCAAATTCAAGCAGAACGGCATGGTTACCCTCTGGTGAGGGTAACACCTGGGCAAAAAGTGTGTACAGAAGCCTTTGAATAAAGAGTATTTTGTTGTGCCTGTCTTTTATTTGAGACATTTGTTCCCTTTCAGCCAGTGCCCATTTCCCCCTGCCAAACTCTAACAAGGAAGCAACCCTATATCGGGGTGCTGCTCCATAAAAGGGTTTCCTTTTGGAAATGGGGATGGCCCC